AAATAGATTTTATACATCTTGAGTCTGCCCTTGGATGGTGATGGAATAAGGGGGAAAATACCATTTAAAAACTGGGCTTTTGGACTTCTAGTAACTATTGAGATAGATTTTCCCCATAATGATATATCTCTAACTTTGAGGTCTTCCAACACTGCCACAGTAAATGAGTTCATTTGTTTTGCTGCTGGTTGCCTTCTTCTTCTCTTTTCTTCTACCTTTCCAGCATTAGCATCTTTTTTTTAGGGCGTTATTTGAATTTAAGATTGTCTCAGTAATAAGTTGGAGAGGGGTATAATACAGCATGCAGCAGCCATAAACAGAGCAATACAATAGCAACATTTTGAACATACATTAGGCTTCAGGTTTAATAAAAATGAATCTGTTTAACAGAGTTTCATCAGTTAAGCATTAAAAAATAAATATTTATCTAGTCCGCAGGGTAATCAGTTCTTGCAATTTTTTTCCTCCAAAACTGAAATCTGCTCTCCTGAACAATGTTTATGGGAAGTATGAACTTTCTTAAAAAAAAATTCTTTGATTTAAGAAATTATGTACAGTTTTAATTGTGGAGGTCTTAGTGCTCTTTGAGTTTGGTGGTTTGTTTTTCAATAGGCTTGCATTTCTAATTTGCCATTGTATGTAAGCAGGAAGCAAACTGCATACTAAGGTTGTTACTTAGTTGAGTACTGAAACATCTGCAAACAAACCACAGTAGCCAAGTGCTCCATTACCAAAGTAACAACTCAACCTCCCATAAGAGAGCTATGTAAGAACATTATTCGGATGAATACAAACACATTGCAGCAACCCAGAACCTCAGAAAAAGGAAACACACTGCCTATAACAACATCTCTCAACGAACTAGATGCCCAACCTAAGTGGCTAACCATTGAACCTTCTATAGCACAGTCACCCCCAAGCTATGAAAAAGATAATGCACAAGACCAAACTTTAAGAAGAAATGCATCCAAAGCGAGAATTGAGAAGACAGAAAAGACAGTAAATGTCACCTTTGCAAAGAATCTGAAGAGCGGACTACCTAGTGAGTTGCTGCAAAAACATTGCCCAGACTAACTACAAGCAACAGTATGACAAAGTAGCAACATGGAAGATCAAGTACCATTTGCTACAAACAAGAACTGGTAGGATCATAAAATAGACAAAGTAATAGAAAATGAAGAAGCTAATGGGGATTTAGAATTCAAACGAACAAGCACCTGCGCCCCCTGACTTAACAATTGTTTTAATTTAATTTAATTAATTCAATTTATATGCTGCCTTTCTCTGAAGACTCAGGGCGGCTTACAATGCATTTTTAAAAAAACCATTATAAAAACATTTAAAAATTAAAACAGTAAAACCCATTCACACCATTCATGGCCGGATCTCACACGAACGCAACAGTGAGATCAACGGCCCCAGGCCTGCCGGAATAGCCAGGTCTTCACTGCTTTTCAGAACGCCAATAGGGTGGGGGTGGTCCAGACCTCAGGAGGTAACTGGTTCCAGAGAGCTGGGGCAGCCACAGAGAAGGCCCTTCCCCGCAGGCCCGCCAGCCAGCATTGTTTAGCTGATGGGACCCGGAGGAGACCAACTCTGTGGGATCTTACTGGTCACTGGGAGCTATGTGGTAGAAGGCGGTCTCAAAGATACCGCCTTCTACCACATAGAAGGTAAGAAAGTTGGTAAGAAAGACAAAAAAGAGCCTGGATAATGGACATGGCAAAACCCAGAGACAGCAGAATAGAAGAGAAAGAACTGGAGAAGATAACAACATACAAAAACCTGCATATAAAAATAGAACGACTGTGGCAAAAGAAACAAAGGTAGTACCAATAGTAATAGATGCCTTTGATGCAATCACAAAATAATTGGACCACCTCTTGAACACTTTAGTACTGACAAAATTATCAACAGTTGCAAAAGGCAGCTTTCCTTGGGAGAGCTTACATACTGCAGTGTTATTTTTCATATAATGAACAACATCTGTTTATTCCAAGCTCTTGGGAGGACTCGATAGGTCAGGGGCGTCAAACTCGATATCATTGAGGGCCGCATCAGGATTGTGTTTGACCTCAGGGGGGGAGTGGGCATGGCTAGGGTGGGTGTGGCCAGCCTAATGTCACTCATGTCAGGGGCACCTGTGGTCAGCCGAGCGCTCTGCCAGAGAAAATGGGCTCCCGAGCTCCATTTTTGGCTGCAACGACCTCCTGCAACCCTCTGTCAGTGAAAACGGAGCTCGGGAGAGCCACATGTGGCCCTTCTGAGCTCCGTTTTTGCTGACAGAAACACCACAGGCCAGTCCTTCGCTGTTTCCAGGGCGGCCCCACGGGCCAGATCTAAGCACCCTGCAGGCCAGATCTGGCCCCCGGGCCTTGAGTTTGACAACCCTGCGGTAGGTGGATAAAAATGCCAAATTCAGTCTAAACCAGTGGTGGGTTGCCCCCGGTTCGCACCGGTTCTATAGAACCAGTAGTAAAACTGGCAGGAGGCTCCGCCTACCGACCCCAACGTCATCAAAATGCTTCTGTGCATGCGGCCCCGTTGCGAACCGGTAGTAAAGGTAAGTAGAACCCACCCCTGGTCTAAACATCTGGCTGATTGCACAACAGACCATAACAAAATAAGTAAACCAAAAAACTCAGTACCTCAAGAAAACAACAACAACAAGCATCACCTACAACCTACTATGTAAGGACTGTAACAGCCACTATGTAGGACAAACAGGCAGAAAACTGGCAAGGCACATCCATGAACACCAACTAGCAGTCAGAAGACATGATGAAAACTCCTTAATCTCACAACATATGGACAGACTCAACCAAGTTTTCAACTGTAAATCTTCAAGCATTCTAGATCAAGCTAAATCCAAAAATGCTGGAGAACTCCTAGAAGCTTGACATTCAGACAAGTCAGCCATCAATAGAGTAAACAAAAAGATCAGAATACATCCTCCAGCAGCCAATACCCAGATAAGCAGGGATTAACACCTGGGAAACAACCAAGCAGAAAACAACCCTGATCAAGGAACTAGCAAAGAAAAAACAATCCCCACCAAAACTGGCAGGGCAAGCTACTGCATATAAACAGGAAGCAAAGCTCACAATACAAGTAGTCCTCGACTTACGACCACAATTGAGCCCAAAATTTCTCTTGCTAAGCAAAGTGGTTATTAAGTGAGTTTTGCCCCATTTTATGACATTTCTTGCCATAGTTCTTAAATGAATCACTGCAGCTGCTAAGATAGCAACATGGTTGTTAAGTGAAACTGGCTTCTTCATTGACTTCGCTTGTCAGAAAGTTGCAGAATTGAATGACCCTGGGACACTGCCACTGTCATAAATATGAGTCAGTTACTAAGCATCTGAATTTTGATCACATGACTAAGGGGAAGCTGCAACGATCATGTGAAAAATAGTCATAAGTTACTTTTTTCAATGCTGTTGTAACTTTGAATGGCCACTAAATGAATTGTTGTAAATTGAGGATTACTTGAAGTGATGAAGTTACCGAATGAAACATCTGCAAACAAATAATCAGCCTCAAAGAGCACCAAGGACACCACAGTTCAACTCTGAGATACCCATATTCTCTTTTATTGCAGTTTGTGTCTTTCATTCTCAGTTTTATGTAAATCCATTTATTTGACCTTACACCTAGTGGAAATGAATTCCCTAATGGAATCTTTGCATTTGTGCCTAATTTATTATTTATGCTTTCTATTCATATACAGCAGGCATCCTCAAACTACGGCCCGCGGGCTGGATGCAGCCTGCCAATACAAAGTATCCAGCCCGCGGAATGGTGTGATTAAGCCCCGCCCCTTGCCATGGGCCTTATCTTCTAGCGAGCCACCTGGAAGGCCAGCTGAGGGTCAGCTGAGGGGTGATCTCGCCAGTGCAGCCTTGAAAAGCAGCTCTGGGATTGTAAAGTACTGCTTTAAATTAAAAGTTTTTTTCATAGCCATGTAAACCAGGGCCGGTGTTTGAATAGGGGAAATTACTTGGTTTCTTTCTTGCTGGAACTTGTATCTAATATTACAGCATTGGCATCTTTTAATACCTGTACTAGCAGTTTCTTTGGAATAAGCTTCAATTCAGACAATGTTATTTAGTTGTCTTTGTATTGTTTTAGATCAGGCATCGTCAAACTATGGCCCAGGAGGCTGGATATGGCCCGCTAATGGAAAGTATCCAGCCCGCGGACTGGTGTGATTAAGCCCCGCCCCTTGCCATGGGCCTTATCTTCCAGCGAGCCAGCTGGAAGGCCAGCTGAGGGGTGATCTCGTCGGTGCAGCCTTGAAAAGCAGCTCTGGGCTTGTAAAGTACTGCTTTAAATTAAAAGTCTTTTTCACAGCCATGTGAACCAGGGCAGGTGTTTGAATAGGGGAGGGGGGTTGCAGCCTTGAAAAGCAGCTCTGGGCTTGTAAAGTACTTCTTTAAATTAAAAGTCTTTGAAAACAATTTAAACAGGATCTTAGGAAGGAGAAAGGCAAAAAAATGGATTGTTAAATTGGCCACGCCCACCAAATCACATGACCACCTAGCCATGCCCACCCAGCCAGTCTGCCCCCCCCCCCCGCAACAGTCTGAGGGACTGTGAATCGGCCCCGTTTAAAAAGTTTGAAAACATTACTGATATACAGTAATGTGGCTTTCTCATTTTAGGCCACTGTCTGGAAAAAACAGGTAAATCTTATGAGCATCTCCACTCTAGCAAACATGTAAGCTATAAGATGTAAAGAAACATAGTTGAAATTATCAATATCATACATATAGCTCATGCATTCATAGTCTTTCAAACAAACAAATGAATTACATTTGTATATTGAATACAGGCTCAATGTTCCCCGGGAAAAGCTCACTAGCTCTCATTTGCCATATGTTTGATTTCATTATGTGCCAATTACAAAAGCAATCTGGGTTTGTGACTGTGCTAAATGTCATACACTTTAGCACAAATACAACATTAAGCAGTCCAAATGGGAATGTGCGTCACTACCGGTGAATGCTTGCCATTTATTATAAAAGCCATACAGTATAAGCATGCCATTTGATGCTGGATCATTATAGATTTTCAGGCCGATTTCAGATTTTCCAATTCATCACCAGATGAGTAAATTTCATTATAGACTTGGATGGAGGAATACTTAACTGGTGGAGGAGGTGGCTTGAAAGACGGAGGTTTATTCATACTACAATGAAAATAATCCTGTTTAAAATGTGCAGCAAATGAACATACACAATAAGCAATCAGAATAGTTAGATACAATTAAGAAGCAAATCAACACCATGAAAACATAATTAGGCATAAAAATAGGTCCACTAATTTACATTGAAGCAGGGACCTAATATACCTTTTCGATGAAAGGTGAACTATTAAAATCAGTAGTATTGCTAAGATACTTGCGTTTCTTTTTGCTCTTTTGAGTAATACTGTGATGGAGGGGGCCTTGATGGACCGTAACCTTATCTCTTTTACAATCTACTAAAACAAATGAGCCTCACAAGCAGTTTACACTAAACTGTTTTTATTTACATAAAATAAAACAAGGTCTATTCAAAAAGAATATTAGATGTCATTCTCTTTCTTAAGAGCCCTGGTAGCACAGCAGACTAAAGCACTGTTATTAACATCAGCTGCCTACAATTACTGCAAGTTCAAATCTCACCAGGCTCAAGGTTGACTCAGCCTTCCATCTTTTCTAAGGTAGGTAAAATGAGGACCCAGATTGTGGGGGCAATAAGCTGACTTTGTATAAAATATACAAAAGTATGAAGGCTATTGCTTAACACATTGTAAGCCGTCCTGAGTCTTCAGAGAAGGGCGGCATATAAATCAAATTTTTTTTAAAAAAGTGTCCTGTCAGCTCTCTGGTGCAATCGCTCTATGCAATTGGAGTTCGGGCTTTTCTTCCTCAGAAGGAAGAGGCTTTAGTGACTTCAGCTCTGCCTCTGATCCCGAAGAGAATGTCTGCTGGCAAGCATCTCCTTTTATACTGTTGCAGTGGCAGTTAGGGGAGGGCATAGAAAAGCCCGAGAGATTCAAAGCCAGGAGCTGCTCTCTGATTGGCTTATTTAATTGTCTAAACCAAAGGCCATTAATAGTCACAGCAACTGTGAGGGAATTTTTCTCTCACAAATCCCAAATCAATGCATAAACAAAGCCACCAGGTTGATTTGTGATAATGAAATCACAGTGGTATGTTCAGTTGCCCTGACATACATAATTTTTAAATATTAGATATGCCGTTCTTTAAAGATGAGAATATAGTTTAATATGAACCAGATTTCAATAATGTTTACTCTCATGCTGATAATTAATATTATATGGACCTTATTCTGTGTTTTTTATTTATTTAAATGACTATAAGGTACTGAATGTAGGATTTTTAGTGGGCAATCACTGCCATATTTTGTTGTCATAGTAACTCTTTGTTATATCTTATTAATAATTTTTCTAAAAAATGCAAAAAAGGCTGTTGAATTTCTTTCATTCTAAATATAAAGAAATCTTTTTGCAATTAATTTCGCTGTTTTGTATGGGAGTAATTTCACAATGATATACAAAATGAAGTCACAATTTGGAGAGGGCATACAGTGTACTTACATTTCTTTTTGATGCTGACACCATTTTCTGATCCCACAAATGATTAAGCATGTGCAGAAGAGAAGCAGAAAAGTCACAATTCCTGGCCAGGGAAATGCGCTATCTTTTGGAACCATTGCAGAACCTGGAAAGGGCACAGTACAAAAATTATTATGACGAAAACCACAAGCAAGCTTTGAACAGTTATTCTTTCTACATTTCTGAATTATGAGTGGGTTTTGGTTTTTTTTGACTCTCACATGGAAACAAATTATTCAAAGCAGTTGACTATGTGGTGTCAACATGAGACAGGATCCAGGAGCCGTCTTAGTGGCAGATACTGTGAGACAGGCCCTGGATGTTGCGAGAGTTGGCAGGATGCCATGCAACCCGCCTTGTGCTCTCTGTGCTGGTTGCAGTCTTTCACAACCAAGAAGACCACACACATTGTCAGCAGTAAAAGGACATTTCACCACCAGCCTTGTTCACAACAGCTTTAAAAATGAAATACCTATAAAATACCTACAAATGTAAAAACGGGATACAACTATATATCTATTGGGTTGACTTGTTGGAACAATTGGGTAAGAGTTTTAAACTAGTGCCTTATCCAGGTACTGTTAATGTCCAGCTTACTAACATAACACATGATCTAGTTTCCAACTTGTTATCCTATTGCACTTCATATCTCTTACAATAATATATTGTGGCTTATGCTACGTCAGTGGTAGGAGACATGATATTTTTTTAAAAACCCTTTTATTTGTAGTTTTGCAACGCTGTGTGGCATTGGATGGCATTTATAGGGGCAAGAATTATACCATAACAAGTTGGCATTTGCAACTTAAGCAACAATAGGAGTTAGATACTGACATAAGGTAAATTAGAAACCAAAAGGCACTTAGAATTTGCCCTCATCCTAATCAGAGCATAAATTTATACAGGTAGTCCTTGTTTAGCAACCACAATTAGACAACTTTGTTGGTAAGAGAAGCAGTCACAAGTGAAACCATGACAGTGCTTATGACCTTGCTTCAGCTTTCTTTTTCTTTCCTACTGACCTGCAACTGATCTCCTACTGACCTCACATTAATGTGAGGATTAGTCGTAAAGTTACCTTTTCATAACCATCACAACTGAATGGTCGCTAAATGAGGCAGTCACCAAATGAGGACAATTTGTATGTGATTCGTGCAGCTTTTGAAATAAGGAACTCCTTACTCACGGTCACTCATGCCCTCATCACTTCCCGCCTGGACTACTGCAACACTCTCTACATGGGGCTCCCCTTGAGGAGCACCCGGAGGCTCCAACTGGCGCAGAGTGCGGCTGCGTGGGTGGTTATGGGAGCAACATGGCGTTCCCATGTAACACCTTTCCTGCACGAGCTGCACTGACTCCCGGTGGTCTTCCGTGTGCGCTTCAAGGTCTTGGTTACGACCTTTAGAGCGCTCCATGGCTTAGGACCTGGTTATCTACGGGACCGTCTGCTGCCACCAGTAGCCTCCCACCAGCCGGTACGCTCTCATAGAGAGGGGCTCCTCCGGGTGCCGTCGGCCAAACAATGTCGACTGGCGGCCCCCAGGGGGAGAGCCTTCTCTGTGGGGGCACCTACTATCTGGAATGAGCTCCCCCCCGGAGATACAGAGGATCCCAGATCTACGCACCTTCCACCGCGCTTTCAAGACCTTTTTATTCCATCAGGCTGGCCTGGCCTAATTTTTCCCTTTTTCCCTTTTTAATACGCAAATTTTAATTCGTTCTTAATGTATTGGGGTGTTTTAAATCTGTCTTCGGCCAAATTGTTTAATTTGGTTTTATTCTGTTTTTAAATTTTGTATTTATGTGTTTTTATCTTGTGGCTGTTCACCGCCCTGAGTCCTTCGGGAGTAGGGCGGTATATAAATCAAATAAACTAAACTAAACTAAACTAATTTCTGGAAGTACAGCCCATCTATCTTCCTCCCTTCTTAAAAGACTGAGTCATTGGCTTAGATGTGAAAATGATTTCCAAGCATGGAAGTGTCTAAAATCTATACTGCTATATAAGCAAAGCCAGACATCTTGCAATGATCTTAACAAGGATTAACACATCAGCTTCCCCAGCAACCATAAATTCTCTCAATAATTCTGTTCAGAATATTGGCAACCACATCTTCAGCTTTTCATTCTTTAGTGGCAGGTACAGGGTGGGTGATACATGTCAGAGCTCCTATGAAATAAATCTTTCCAATCTTGATTATGACATAGAAATTGTGAGGAAATTGATTAATATTCATCACCTCCCTTGCCTCAGCTCCCTCCCTGTAGAGAGCAGAGGTCTTCAAACTTGGCAGCTTTAAGACTGGACTTCAACTCCCAGAATTCTCCAGCCGGAGAATTCTGGGAGTTGAAGTCCACAAGTCTTAACGCTGCCAAGTTTGAAGACCTCTGCTGTAGAACAAGCTTGCCAAAACCAGTTGCAGCAACCTTTTTGCCCTGCTCCTCTTTTCATGGAGACTCCTTTACAATTGAAGCAATAACTTACCAGTATTAAGGTCATTTTTTACAGTATATGAATTAGCAGAGCTATTCATGGTGGCTACTTCAGTCACTCTTCTGATGGACAGGTTTCCTTAAAAACAGATAAGCACATATTCTTTAGGATTTTAGCCAGTTTACCAGTATCATTATAGTAATAATGATTACTATACATCTGGCTGCAATCAACCATAATAAAAGATGGGATATTACAGTTGATTTCACAATCAGTCAGATGTTTAGACAGAATCTGTCGTTTTTATTCATCTACCGAATCCTTCCTAAAGACCTAAGATAGGCAGTTTTGTTTTTTGTTGTTACATACACTGTTGCAGGAGGTAAGCTGTTGCAAGTAAAGCTGCCTTTTGCAATTGATTGATGATGATTTTGTCAATGCTGATTTTGTTTTGTTTTCTTATTCTACAATCGTTTTACTTCGATATGCAGATCTTTGTATTTTGCAATTTTTTGCCCATTTGTTCTCTTCTATTTTGCTGCCTCCAGGTACTGCCAATTCCACTATCCAAACTATTTTGTCTTTCTTACTGATAATTGTTTAGTCTGAGGTTTATCACATAGCAGGTGCTTGTCTGTTGGAACTCTAAAGTCCCAGAGCATGTTAGTTTTCCATTTTATTGCAATATTCCACTTCCAACTATTTTCCTTGATAAGTAGAGTCTGTCAACATCACTGCATGGATGACTGGCATGATTCAATTTATTGTCATTACTCTCTGGTCTTCTTATTCAGGTATTTCTCCACTGAATTTGGGCTTAAGATCTTTTTTATTTTCATGACATATTTACCGCTGATCCTTCCTTTTGACTTCAGTGTGCTTGACGTTGTCTCCTTGAAAGATGCCCACGTATTTGGAGCAACCATCTTCATTCAGACTCTTAATGTTATTTCCATAAGGATCTTGATTCCTTCAAATTTTCATTATTTACCACCACCCCCTCATTTTGATAGGGTAGCATATTTGTCCAGTTCAAATTCCATTCCAATACACACACACACACAGTGTGGAATAGCAATACTATTTCAGGTGGTGATTTCCCACACAGCTTCAGATTGTCCATGTAAAGGAGATATGATAGCTATAGCATGAATTGTTCACTATTGTTGACGGAGGAATCAGTGCAATGACAAATTACTTGGTTTCTTTCTTGCTGGAACTTGTATCTAATATTACAGCATTGGCATCTTTTAATACCTGTACTAGCAGTTTCTTTGGAATAAGTTTCAATTCAGGCAATGTTATTTAATTGTCTTTGTATTGTTTTAGATCAGGCATCGTCAAACTATGGCCCAGGAGGCTGGATATGGCCCGCCAATGGAAAGTATCCAGCCCGCGGACTGGTGTGATTAAGCCCCGCCTCTTACCATGGGCCTTATCTTCCAGCGAGCCAGCTGGAAGGCCAGCTGAGGGGTGATCTCACCGGTGCAGCCTTGAAAAGCAGCTCTGGGCTTGTAAAGTACTGCTTTAAATTAAAAGTCTTTTTCACAGCCATGTGAACCAGGGCTGGTGTTTGAATAGGGGAGGGGGGTTGCAGCCCTGAAAAGCAGCTCTGGGCTTTTAAAGTACTTCTTTAAATTAAAAGTCTTTGAAAACAATTTAAACAGGATCTTAGGAAGGAGAAAGGCAAAAAAATGGACTGTTAAATTGGCCATGCCCATCCAATCACATGACCACCTAGCCATACCCACCCAGTCATATGACCACCTAGCTACGCCCACTCACCCAGTCCCCCCCAACAGTCTGAGGGACTGTGAATCAGCCCCCTGTTTAAAAAGTTTGAGGACCCCTGTTCTAGATTCTCAGTTATAGTTTATTTCAATTCTTAAGTTTTAGTTAGGAGGTCTTTGTTCTTTCTATGAAGAATGTATCATCAGTTTCCTCTGGTGTTTTCATTGGAAATCTGAAAAGGCAGCTATACAGATAAAAGTGGAAGACAAACTCTTCTTCAAGTCAACCATACCTTAGCTGATTTAATGGATAGGTCTGTGTTGTTTGCTTGATAATAATTCCTAAGGGGTTTGCAAAATTGCTTTCTTTCAAAATTTCTGGAAGAAATTAGTTGTATGGTTTCTTTTCCAGAACCAATCCTACTTAGCCTTCCCAAGTCAAGCAAGACGGATTAGGTGCATTTTTGTGTCTCAATATGTTATTGATCGTTCACAAAATAGCTTCATGACGTTCCACAGACCCAATCTGATTCTCCCCCCTCCCTCCTTCCATTTCTCTTTCTCTCTCTCTTTCATTAGCTATTCCAAATTATCTATCCTGACTTAAGGAACCTAATTTTACATATAATTAAAATATAGACAATATATTCTAGTTTATAAAGTTGTTAATACTTTCACAGCGTCCACTATGTTGTGATGACATGGAGTTAACCTGGAAGCGAGTCACAGTGGCAGCATTTTGATGGGTTGTTATCCTGTTATTCTTCAGCCCTTAGTCAGGATAATGGTGTTAGCTCATAAGAGTTTAAATAGAGTGATAGTTATTAGAAAGGATATTTACCCCCTTAGACTTTACTTAAACAAGACTGGAAATAAATTAAGATAACCTCTGCTCAAGCACAAATGTGGGAATCAGAGAAAAATATATATATATTTGGGTTGTAGTACGTTATTAGATCTGGGCTGTAAAAATCCTGTGATCATTAGATGGCAGCAAAGAGACAAAGATCAGTCTACCTTTTTGATATGATCTAAAGGTTGTCTGGATTTCACCCAGGTCTAGTAGCTGTATTTAAGAGCTAGTTAACAACTGCAAGAGCTAGTTAACAACTGCAACAACTTCACATCATCAGTTGCATATAGAAAACATCATCACAGATATATCACTATTGAGAAGTCTTTTATGTCACCTAACTAACCTTATCCAATTTAATTCCCATAAAATTCAAGAATTGTGAGCCTTCAATGGACATTAGCTTTTCAGCAGGATTTTTTCTTTTGTTATCAGGAGATGCCAGACGTTGAACCTGAGATATTCTTCAGGTTAACCCATGGTATTTTCATTAAAACCTTCAACTATGATAGTCATCTTTCAGCAGATACATAGTAGTATAATAATTGGGAAGTATATATATATTGCTAGAATAAATTAAATAGTTTTTGTTAAAACCAAAATCTTTTTTCTGTACTGAAATATATTTTATTTTTATTCCTAACTCTTAATTCCAGGGTTTACAGAGCATAAGAAGCACACACAATTTACACTACCCACATTGAGCCTTCTATACCGCCCTTCCAAAGTGAAATAATTATTTATCTTCTAAAAATGGAACTTCTGCCTTTTGCTCCAGGAGGCAGTGGCACTAATGTAATTTCTTTACACTAATTCAAGATGGACAGTCCTGTGGTAAGAGTAGGATCCCTACCAGAAATTCACACAAGAACCTTGAGCTACCTCCTACAAGTTTAAGATTCAGAAATATATGTCGAAAGCAGTTTGAAAATGAGTAATCAATATTACTTTGCTTGATTCTATTTATGTGTGTGTTATGCATGTGAAAAGAGAATGACTTGCCACAGGGAATACCTTTTCACAGCTTATAAATCAAGTAAACCTCTCCAGCCTAAACAAGCAGCAGCCCTTTAAAGATGTTAGACATGGGAAATGATCACATTAAGAGGATTGTAATTGTGGGCAGCAGGCATGAAACCTCAGGTCACTGCGTATACTTTTCTCAAGAAGAACGTTTCTTAGCAGCAATAAAAATCAGATTATCAAAGGAAATATATCTGTATGCCATGGTCGATAAAGATTTAGCACTGGGAAGAAAAGGCAGTTTTGTCTCTCGACTTCCCTGACGAAACAAGGAATGATGATGATGATGATGATCTCTTTTATTTGTTAAACATGAAACTCAGTCAACTGATCATTTAAAAATGTGTCATAAATACGAGTGACTGGTGCTAATGGTTGATATGGGTTGCTGCCAGCGTCCTAGGTATCAACCAAGTATCTTCTTAAAATATATCATGTTCCGAGTAGCACAACCCGTATTATTGTTGTTGTTGTTGTTGATGATGATGATGATGATGGATATCAAGAACCAACTATCTTTAAACTGACTTTGTTGCTTGATAATTCTTGAATACAGCTTGTCTGTCTAGAATCCTCACTGTATATTGGACATTAATACAATTGAGCGAGTCCAGAGGTATTTCACAAGAAGAGTACTTCACTCCTCCACTCACAACAAAATACCTTATGCCACCAGGCTTGAAATTTTGGGCTTGGGCAATCTAGAACTACGCCGCTTACGGTCTGACCTAGGCGTACTACACAAAATTACCTGCTATAATATCCTACCTGTCAATGACTACTTCAGCTTCAACCACAATAATACACGAGCACACAATAGATACAAACTCAAGGTAAACCACTCCAAACTTGATTGCAGAAAATACGACTTCAGCAACAGAGTGGTCAATGCCTGGAATGCACTACCTGACTCTGTTGTTACATCCTCAAACCCCCATAACTTTAACCTTAAACTGTCTACTGTTAACCTCATACCATTCCTAAGAGGTCTGTAAGGGGTGTGCATAAGTGCATCAGTGTGCCTATTGTCCCTGTCCTAATGTCCCCATTTATTTGTATCCATTTCCTGTGTTCATATCCATGTTTATACTTATACCTGTTATCTTGTACATGTTTGACAAACTAAACAAAATAAAAATAAATTATAGATTGGATACTTTTGTTGCTATCCAGTCAAATGTATTTATGGAATTTCTAGACTCCAATATATAATTTAGCATTAGCATTAGATTCTTCCATGTTATGTAGCATATCAGGCAGCCCAATATGTAATCCAGGTTCAAAAACTATATTAATTTAAGAAAAAACAAATTGCTTTGATAATTTGAGAACATTATCTTGTTAATCCAATATCCTGATATTTAACCATATTGCTACATACCTTTTATTATGGATGCTAAAGAATACATTGAGTGGGAACTGTAAATACAATATCATAGCCAGTTGGCCTAGTGCAGGGGTGGGCAAATGTGGCTCTTTTACAACCTGTGGACTTCAACTCCCAGAATTCCTGAGACAGCCAAGCTGTCACATTTGCCCACCCCTGACCTAGTGATTAAGGCACCTGGCTAGAAATTAGGAGACCATGAGTTCTAATCCTGCCTTTGTCATGAAAACCAGCTGGATAACTTTGGGCCAGTCACACTCTCTTAGCCCATAATGTTAGCTTTGGGTAACAGCCAGTTGGCCAATTCCTGTTGCAATCAATAGATAAATACTTGGTTGATATCAAAAAAAGTGGACCCTTCATTTGCAGGAAATACTATAAAGGGAACCTCTAAAGAAATAAATCTAACACTCCATATTATTTGGAAAGATTTTCCTAATGAAAATAACTTTCCTATATAAAGTGGATATTTCTACTTTTTATGTAGCTAAACTATGATTATGCCTAGGATTTGAAATAAATATGGTTCTGCTTTTCCCACGTTGAATACAAATAATTTTAAAAATATTTATAACTTAATTTGTGGTATTGTGGAATCACTTTGAGGTACCGTGGTCTCACCGAACAATGTAATAATAGTATCATTTTGCCGGGGTTGCATAGAATGCAAGGATTCTGTAGAAGACATATTGTCTTTAAATTCCTTGTACAATGTGATGATTCAGTGCTTTGTTAGCTAGACGCTACCAGCAGAGGTAAAACTAAAATGTAGACTCCATTTGGATAATAGAAATTTCACATTATAAATGGAATACTAAAGGAACAAATCTAACACCCTTCCTGTTCAACATTTATGTGAAGCCGCTGGGCGAGATCATCTGTGGTTTTGGAGTGGAGTTCCATCAGTACGCTGATGATACTCAGCTATACATCTCCACCCCAGGCCATCCCAATGATGCCCTTGAAGTGATATCCCGGTGCCTAGAGGCCGTGCAGGTCTGGATGGGGAGAAACAGGCTCCGACTCAACCCTTCCAAGACCGAGTGGCTGTGGTTTCCGGCGTCCCGATATAGCCAGCTGGTGCCATCGCTGGCTATTGGGGGTGAATTACTGGCCCCCACGGAGAGGGCTCGCAAGTTGGGCGTCTTCCTGGACACATGGCTGTCTTTAGAAGAGCATATGACGGCCGAGGCCAGGGGGGCTTTTTATCAGGTTCGCCTGATTCGCCAGTTGTGTCCCTTTCTGGATCGGGACTCCTTACGCATGGTCACTCAGGCACTCGTCACTTCCCGCCTGGACTACTGTAATGCTCTCTACATGGGGCTCCCCTTGAGGAGCACCCGGAGGCTCCAACTGGTGCAGTATGCGGCCGCGCAGGGGATTATGGGAGCGATGGGGCGCTCCCATGTGACACCCCTCCTGCGCGAGCTGCATTGGCTCCCAGTGGTCTTCCGGATGCGCTTCAAGGTGTTGGTCACCACCTTTAAAACGCTCCATGGCTTAGGGCCTGGGTACTTACGGGACCGCCTTCTGCCACCGATAGCCTCCCACAGGCCTGTACGCTCCCACAGAGAGGGAGCGTACAGGGTGCCGTTGGTCAGACAATGTCGGCTGGCGACCCCCAGGGGGAGGGCCTTCTCTGTGGCAGCACCTGCCCTCTGAAACGACCTGCCCCCGGAGATACGTAAGATACCAGATCTCCGTGCTTTTCGCCGTGCCCTTAAAACTTTTTTATTTCATCAAGCTGGGCTGGCGTAACCCCCCCCCCCTCTTAGATATTTTTAGATATTTTTAATTGTAAATTGATTTTAGTTGGGGTGTTTTAAATTTAATTGGGCCAAAATTTGTCTAATTCTTTTTTAAAAATTTAAATTTTGTATATGATGTTTTTATTTTTGGCTGTTCACCGCCCTGAGTCCAGTAGGAGAAGGGCGGTATAAAAATTTAATAAATAAATAAATAAATAAATAAATAAATAAACATTTCCTATTTTCTGGAAAGATTTCCCTAATAGTAATAGCAATAACACTTAAACTTATATACCTCTTCACATTGCTTTGCAGCCCTCTCTAAGCGGTTCACAGAGTCAGCATATTGCCCCCAACAATCTGGGTCCTCATTTTACCTACCTCGGAAGAATGGAAGGCTAAGTCAACCTTTCGCATGGTGAGATTTAAACTGCCAAATTGCAGGGAGCTGGCAGACAGCAGAAGTAGCCTGTAGTACTGCACTCTAACCACTATGCCACCGTGGCTCATAATAACTATTGAATAATATGAAATTATATAAAATGATATTTCTACTTCTGCATGTTCTAAGCCATAATTATTCCTTTGATTTGAAATAAATATGGCACTACCTTCCCCACACTAAATACAAATAATTTAGAAAGTGTTATAACTTACTTTGTGGTACTGTGGAGTCACGGAGAAACATAGTAGTAGTACTACTTTGCAGGGATTTGGTAGAATGCAAGATTTCTGTAGAAGACAAATTGCCCTTAAATTCCCTGTTCAATATGAATATTCAGTTTTATTGACTATTGCCACTAGGAGAAGTAAAACTAAATTGCAGACTTTATATTCAGTACTTTAAAGAAAACACAAGAACCAACTTCACATTATTCAGAAAGTCTCTCCTAATAACTTTCACATATAGCAATAGTAATACCACTTCGACTTATATACGGTAACCTTTCACAGTGCTTTATGGCCTTCTCTATGCAGTTTACAGAGTCAGCATATTGCCCCCAAGAATCTGGATCCTCATTTTACCGACCTTGGAAGGATGGAAGCTGAGTCAACCTTGAGCTGGTGAAAATTGAACTGTTGGCAGTTAGCAGAATTAGCCTGCAATACTGCATTCTAACCACTGCACCATGGCAGCTCTTGGTGTGGTGAAAGTATATAAAGCTGATTTTTTAAAAATAAAATCCTTGATAAGTCAGCTACAATTATTGAAATCTATTATGTTTCTACTTTCTACACCAAATACAAATAGGAAGGAAGTGTTCATCACTTACTTTGGGGTACTGTGGATTCACTGAATAACTTTGTAGTAGTATCACTTCGTAGCATTTTAGTAGAATGCAAGTGTTCTGTAGAAGACAAATTGTCTTTAAATTCCTTGTTCAATGTTTTGTTAGCTTGATTCTACCAGGAGAATATGGTATGAAATTATATAAAACTATTTTTTCAACTTCTTGATAATCCACTATGCTTAATTGGATTTGAAATCTACAGTATATGGTTCTTATCAAATCCAATCCATGTACGCAACATTTTGCACATGCAGGATGAGAAAAAGATGTTAATAAATCTAAACTAAATAAAAATAATAATATTCTATACATTTTATTTTAATAGCCACAGTTAAAAGTATGTTTTGAATCTTACTGATGCCCATTATCAGTTTCTAATAAAGGTTAATTAAGATCCTTTAAAAATACAAGATGGAGGAGGTTGTTCTGTAGCTTCGTCTTCGTAATCCACTGAATTAAATTATGATAAGTAGTGATTGCCCTACAAGAAAGTTTGAGCCATAGGCAGTGGTGAAATCCAAATTTTTTTACTACTGGTTTTGAGGGCGTGGCTTTGTGGGCGTGATGTGGCTTGGTGAGCATGGCTTGGTGGGCATGGCAAGGGAAGGATACTGCAAAATCCCCATTCCCTCCCCACTCCTGGGGGAAGGATATTGCAAAATTTCCATTTCCACCCCACTCTGGGGCCAGCCAGAGGTGGTATTTACTGGTTCTCTGAATTACTCAAAATTTCTGCTGCCGGTTCTCCGAACTGCTCAAAATTTCCGCTACCGGTTCTCCAGAACCTGTCAGAACCTGCTGGATTTCACCCCTGGCCCTAGTGATGGCAGATGATTGTTGTACCTGCCTTCTCTTATATGCAAGTCCTGGAGAACAGGACCTATGTGAGATAAGGGTTTGTCTAACAGACTCCACCAATATAAAGATTGCCCCATTCTTTATGCATTTTTGGGAGCTTTCACCATAAATAGTAAAGAGTTAGATACTTTTCCCTGAAGCAATAAAGCTAACAAAAAATGAATAAATGAACCGTAGAAGTGTTGAGACAAAAAGTTTCATGTATGACTGAATTTTTATTGTGGATGTATGTTGGAGAAAAAGAAAAATAATATTTATAATTAAGATCTCCGACCTCCGGGTATTTCGCTGTGCACTCAAGACCCTGTTGTTCCGCCAGGCCGGGCTATCAACATAATAATTTTAAATCGGGTGTTTTAAATTTCTGGGGTTTTAAATTGAGCCGAATTATTTAATAATTTTAAATTATTTTAATTGATGTTTGTCTTGTGCTTTTAATAGGCTGTACACCGCCCTGAGTCCTTTGGGAGAAGGGCGGTATAGAAATAAAATTATTCTTATTCTTCTTATTCTTATTCTTATAATGGACTTACTTTCTGTAGAGGAATCTGGTACGAGCGTTACTTCTGAGGCTTCAGAAAGCGTAGTCTGTAACCCTGATTAAAATAACCATGGCTTGAAATACAGTGGATGAAATAAAAGAGCTTTAAAAAACTGCAATAAATGAACTTTGGAAATTCTTTAAACTGCCAAAACAATGACATACACATGACTTTACATCAATATTTTAATGATGCAAGTAGTAACATATGTGCCTATGTTTTGTATATTTGTAAACATATGTATATTTGCCATATAGACAGGAGGCAAATATATAGATATATTCTACATGTTTTTCCAATAAAGATATCACAACTTTTGCTTTCTATTTTTTTAATAAAATAAAGTAACATAATACTTGTAATTGTTGAAACACTTTTCATAACTGTATTTTATTTTAACGTTGACATTTATACCATTATTTTGTCAAATGTTTAAAGAACAGATAATATTTCATAGAAATCAATAAACAGCTACTTACTTTCTGTGGGTGAATCTGAAGTGGCAGTAATGTGACTAATGAATTCTGAATATGCCAATGATGTATTCTGAAATCCTGTTTAAAATAACCAGTTCAGAGAGTGGATAATCCTTAACAACAGCATCATGATATTGTTGGTTATAAAATGGGTAGCTATATAAATGTTTTAAGTAAATAAAATAATAGAAACCAATAAAGTATCACAAATCATAAGTTTTCATTTTAAATATAGTGTTCCTACTGATAGATAATGAAATAAAAATAGAATTGAAGGAATGCATTATTACTTAATGTTCAAGGAAACTCAGATATATTATGAATTTTTAAACTATGGCAATAAAAATCAGAAAAGCATGATGGCTTTTAGGGAAACACTATATTATACAGAGTAGTGTAACTTACTAGGACAAAATATTTAAAATATTACATATATTTTTAAATCGATACCAAGTACCATTTGACCAGTGCCCAACACTTGAGATACAGATAAAACAACTGCATTTGGTTAAATTTATCTTTAGCTGTATACAAACAAGAGAAGGGCAATTAAAGAAATTGTACATCAGAACCTAATTTGAAGTCAGACTGATTTATAAGTAAAAGCCATCTGGGCAGTCTTTAAAAATTGTCTAATGGGACAACTGCTCCCTTTGCCTTCTTTGAAATCCACCAGGTGAGCAAGGAAATTTATAATGCACTAGATTCATAAAAATGACCTATTCAGATCTTCAGTTGAACTCATGGAAAGTTCAAAAGGGTTGGAAAAAAAGAAAGTGCACAATAGCACATCTGCTCTTTCTTCCCAATCTGTTTGCATTCAGATGGAGATCTGAAGAGAAGCTATAATGTACAGTAGCTACAGCTATCCATGCAATTAAGAGAACCTGATTTATAAACCCCTGGATTACATAAAGAGGTGTATTTAGAGTCAAGCCAATTACTTAATCATTCCCCCTTTAGATTTCCAGCTATAAATATGGAGGTTAGGGAACCTGGGGAAAAGTTTTGTGATTATCGAACTTGAAGTTTTCTTATGTTCAAGTGAATTCCTCAACTGCGTTTGCAATCATCAAACATAGCACATATTGAGACTATTCAACCTTTAGTTTTTGCACAATATGTTGGGATGAAATAATATCTATGAGCAATGGCTTAAAGTGCATGACTGAGATTGCTAGTAACTGCAAAATAAATTCCAGTAAACTCTTGGTCTCTAGAATTAAAACGTCCTTCAAATTCAGCTTCACATAGTTGCCAATTCAATTAAAGAACAATGTAGCTGCTGAATATGCAACAATTCCCTTAATGGGATGAAACACATGTAGTATACTTTCTATGAAAGCATGCATTTTTATTTGTTTTGCAGAGTTCACACTGCCATAAGTGTGTTTGACTGAACATATATACATGAGACACTACTCGGATTATAAATGGCCCATAATTTCTCAAAGTGACTTACCATGAGGAATAAGTATTTCTTTAGACGAAAATTTCCATCTGTCATTTCTAGTGAGGTGGTATGCAGACATGCATTTGAAGGCCTCATTAATGGATGAATGAGTTACATTCCATATTGACAAGAATGATGTCTTCTCATAAAAACTTCCTACCCGGTTTATATTTTTATTTTCAATTAATAAGCCTTTGGAAGGAAAAAAAAATGATAAAAAGAACAGGTTTTCCCTTATGTTCCTTCCTCTAGCAATAATTAAGTAAATAAGTTCCTGAAAACAAGCTGTAAAATGTTTAATTACATAATCAAGATAATATAATATTTTTATTTGTAAAATGCCTTAGCAAGCAGGGAGTATGCAGCAATGGCACCCAAAGATAACAAATATTTGGAAATTTATAATCCCCCCCAAATAAAAAATTGCTATGTTCTAAAAAAAGAAGTATGGAAACTGCAGCTTTTCAAAAGCTTTTATATTACAATATTCCCTGCCCTCTCCAATAACCACACTGATTGGAAGAGATAACCGATAGGATTACAATTTCCCATACTATTCCTGAAGAATTCGACATCTACATTTAATAGTTGGGCATTTGTTTTATACTAATCGCGCCAGTTAGAACATTTATTTTGCATTACCTTCAGATTTTTCATTCAGAATCTTTCCACCCATGTACCATATAAGTTTTGGCTTTGGATATGCCTTCTTTATCACACATTTGAAGTGTGCCTGAGTAAAAATAAACAGAAATCGAATCAGCAGTTCAAACAAATAGTATAATAGAAGGAATACTCTGTATTCCTTCTCTGCTTTCACCTTTGTCTTAAGCTTAATTATTTGGGTTAATTCGCTTGATAAAGAAATCTTTGAACCGGCTTCATGGTCACACTACTTTGGTTAATTTGGGGTACTTATAACTACTGTTTGATTTTTTGGGGGGGGAGGGGCTTCCCACTTTATTGGATTTTGAGCTGTTTTATTATTTTAAGGATTTTTAAAGAATATTTGTTAACCATTGCATAATAGCTTTTATTATAATGCGTAAATTGTTTATATCCAAGACTTGGACTTGCTTATATCAATGAAAAGTAGTTTGTAATCCCAACAAATTTGGAAGGCTAGAATATTATTATCCTGTTCATTCGCATCCATCTGGTTACTTCCACCTCTATTTCCCTTCTGAAGTTTATTCACCACAATCTATTCTGCTATAATGATTAATGACTGTGTATAAGGTTTTCAAATGTACATAAATATATAATAATGAAGAGTACAACTAGTTAGAATGACACAAAAATTTGCAGATATTAAATCTGAACACCTGTTCCATAATCTTCTTGACTATATACCATGCAGCATTGGATGTATAACCAAGCCACATAAATACCATATTTAAATAGTACCTAACAGGAAGGAAATTAAAAACATCACTGTGGTTCTGTCTACCATGTGGTTTTGCTCCTGTTGACAGAGTTTAAAATCACAAAAGTCTCATTCTTTGTCAAGTAAGATGTTACTGTTTAAAGGTGAAATATCAAGGAAACTGTCACTATAACAGACACGCTTACTAAATCTGCGCAATATTTTGTTGAGATATCTGAGGTACAAAATATAGTTATTGGAGCACAAAATACTTCCATTAGTTTTACATAATTTAAAACCACATTTCACACCCTGTTGACTATATAAACAATTACATTTATCTTCATAGATACTGAGGTTCTTCATGAAGACAATGGTTAAGAGGAGAGTGAGAAAAGAATAACAAACTTTCATTGGATACTAAAGGTAAAGGTAAAGGTTCCTCTCGCACATATGTGCTAGTCGTTCCCGACTCTAGAGGGTGGTGCTCATCTCCGTTTCAAAGCCAAAGAGCCAGCACTGTCCGAAGACGTCTCCATGGTCATTTGGTCGGCATGACTAAATGCCAAAGGCACACGGAACACTGTTACCTTCCCACCAAAGGTGGTCCCTATTTTTCTACTTGCATTTTTTACATGCTTTTGAACTGCTAGGTTGGCAGAAGCTGAGACAAGTAATAGGAGCTCACCCCATTACACGGCACTAGGGATTTGAACCGCTGAACTGCCGACCTTTCGATCAACAAGCTCAGCGTCTTAGCCACTGAATCATCGCGTTCCTTCTTGGACACTAAAGCAGCATTTAAAATATCAGTTTCTGTGTTGGAACATAGCTAACTCTGGAGAATTATTTTATAGATGCTTAGCTCAGAATTCTGCAAAGAAGAATTTAGAGGTAAATTAGAAAAGGTTCTTATCAGCCCAGTTCTATCAGAAATTGGATACAACTCCCAAGAATATTATACCATTATTCCGATTACCGATAGCATTATAAGTCTGTTTTAGGAAGCAAACAAGCAAGCAAACAAACAAATAATTTTCCAATATGGTGGGAAACTATCGAAACTTTATATTTTCTGGCTATTATTCAAACTGAGAAGATATTTCTTAAATATATAGGTGGCCATTTAAAGAGGTTGTTTTCAGATAGGAAGAGAAACATATTCAAGGAAGCTTTGCAACCATCTTATAAGATTCCTCTCTTTCACTTTTCTATTTCTTCCTATTTTCTTTTCTCAGCCAAGTACAAACTCTTGATTTTTCTAGAGCATCCTAAGATTGAGAAAGAAAAGGTTTTTTTTCCCAGTGGAAGAAACTGTTGAGAAATTAGAGGGCAAGTTTCAGAAAAACATAAAAATTATTATGCAAAATGTACAAATTCTCAATTTACTTGTAAAGTGGTTTAAAACATTTAAAACTAATTTTTGCTCCTTTCAAGGCATAATATAAAATTGCACAAACATTTTGCATAAATTAACCCACCTTTCCTTTGGAATATGTATGGAACACAATAGAGATTTCTGGTTTTGCTGCAGCACCAAAGGGAAAAAAAAAAAGACAAATTATACAGGACTTAATTCAGCACAATAACTTTCTGCACAAAATTTTTTAATTTATTTTATAGTTGAAAATATCAAGTTGTGTTCCAAATAATAGAACATAGATGAAAGCTATAACTAAAGAATATGTGATATCAGAATTTCTTCCATTGCCTGTTTGATTAATATATATTATTTTAGCAAATTTCAAAAATATCTCTGATCAGTCTACTTTGTGGTTTCTACTTCTTATTGTATTATTGCCTTGGATGCCTAGTATCTATTTGTACTTTTTAATGTAAATAAATATACATATATACTATGTGTGTGTGGTGCATTTGCCTATTTATATCAGAATTTTATAATGATTTTGTTAAGCATTATAATTACAATATTAAAAACTAAACATTACAATAAAAACTAAAAAAATAGAATAAAAAGAAAAAAATGATGCTGCAGAAAAAAAATACAAGTGAAAGAAAAATAAGAATATAGTAAAGAAAAAGAAAGAAATTTATTTAAAAAAAACCCTGACTTCTCCTTTCATTATAACAAGTATAATTTTTTTTTAGTAAGTTATCACTTTCTCTTAAAATAGGACTGGGTTATTCTATGTTGTTCTTGGGCCTGGCCTGTCAAAAATCAAAGTTCTAAACACTATAGTTTATTTCAAAACAATTTTTTAAAAAGTTCTTAAGTTTGTAGTTACTTCATTCATTAAAGATTAAAAGAAAGTAATCTGGTACTGTCAAACCTGTTGATTCTAAAGTTCCCAATAGCTGAAAAGCAGTTAACAAGCAATTTCTGAAAGTGATTAGAAAAAAATATGCACACTTCGAATCAGAGGTGGGTTTCAGCAGGTTCTGACCAGTTCTGGAGAACCGGTAGCGGAAATTTTGAGTAGTTTGGGGAACCAGTAAATACCACCTATGACTGGCCCCACCCCCATCTAGTCTCTGCCTCCTGAGTCCCAACTGATTGGGAGGAAATCAGGATTTTGCAGTAATCTTCCCCTGGAGTGGGGAGGGAATGGAGATTTTACAGAATCCTTCCTCTGGAGTGGGGTGGGAATGGAGATTTTACAATATCCTTCCCCTGCCACGCCCACCAAGCCATGCCTACCAAGTCATGCCATGCCCATCAAGCCACACCCACAGAATCAGTAGTAAAAAAATTTGAAATCCACCACTGCTTAGAATCCTTTCAACCACCGTTTAAGCAAGGTGTTTATTCCCTCGTCTCTAAACCGATTGGAGACAGCTATCTTGCAATCTGCTCACAAAGAGCAACTGTCTGGGGCTCTTCTGGATGATCTCAATTCCTCTCTTTACCCAAAATGAAATTATTGAAGATAATTATTAAAAATTATTGGTCTATTTCTCAGCTCTTCATTCCATTGGGGTCATTGGTTCTGCTTTTCATACAGCCATTTTTAGTCTGCAATTTTTTCCCTATTTATATCACAAACTTAAAGGGAATTCAGTGATATTAAAACTGGCATTCAGAACCTAATATGGATTTTTTAAAAAACAGCTTAATCAACAGGCTTTTTCCAATTTGAAGAATGAAAGAAAGAGAGAGAGATCATAAAACTACAATGCTTGCATTAATCAGTACTGAGAATATTAAATCAAGATAAGTATTTGCAGCTGTCTATGATGATGTAAAAATTATAATCACTCTGGTCCTTTTTAAATAAGCCCTTAAAATCTGGCTCTATTCTAAGGCCTGGCTTAGAATGGGTGGCAGACCTCTTGTAGGATTTTTTGGTTGTTTAATTGATTGTTGGCTTTTTCAAGACTCTCTTAGATGATATATTCTGTGTTTCTACTATTGGTAGCAGTATCCTGTAGGCCACTCTGTGTTGTAAAGATTAGGACAGAAAGAAAAGAACAAAATAAAAAAGTGAAAAGAGTGATATAGGCACAGCAATAGAACTAATCCTCATTTAGTACCACAAGTGGAACCAGCAACACATTTAATAATTGACGCATTGATAATTCATGATTGTTAATTCATGACAATGATTGTGCTTATGATTTTATTTCAGTTTTTCTTTTTACCCTTTGGAATGCTCACCCAAGTTCTGAGATAATCAGCAAGAATGGAAGTAATGTTTAAATTTACCTTCATTGGGCAGGAAGGAAGAGAGTAAGCAGCATACAATGGAGAATACACATTGAAAGGAATTTGCTAGCACAGGCAGCTGTGAACACATTAGGCAATCAGCTAGTGTTTTTCCCATTATGTGCATGCTTGCTTTCTTATAATCCCTTCCTCTCCAATCTCTCTAGTCTGCAAGGAGAGGAAAAAAGGTCTAGCTGTTTAAAGTTTGCATTACAGGTTTTTCTGGAGTTATGGGGGAAAATGTCTCTTGTAGAACTTTAGATACTATCTCTAAGCCATAAACCATGATTTATAAACCATGCTGCCTCTGTTCAAACTGAAACTAAATGACTTCACACAATAAATCTGATTGCCTCATATTCTTCTTAGCTGCAGATGGTTTATATATTATTAACTTCCAACCACATTAAACTACCCTGATGGCCCATCAAGACCATTGGTTTCTATACGTATGGAAGTTATAATGAATTGGTAGTATCTATTAGAGTTGACTATATGGTGACATCTGCAATGGACTAGAAAGTTATTGCTGAATTAGTGGCTGCCCACTAATGGACATTTCTTGGTGTGTTGCTTTCCATTTTTTTTGTAAGATGAAAGCCCAATTATTGCTTCCCTTGGAAGGAGAACCACTCAATATATTTGGTTATTAAACATGTTCCAAATTATATATTTGAATGATTGCACTATCAACAGTCCCAAGAAAGAACTAACCAAAGCTGAAATTCCTAATATGGAGCCTTTATGGAAGGATCAGATATTTGCATAGTTAAGTTGTCCTTCCTTTTTTATATAGCTATGATTTTTCTTTCAAAATGAAGAATACCAACAAGGGCAAGTGTTGACAGCATCTTTACTTTTTTCCTCAAATTTCATTTTGTTTCTATTTCTTCCCTCTTTCTCTAAATTCCCAAGTACACCATAACACTCCATTCAGAGTGGCTTATGGCTAATGGAGTAATTAATGGCTTTTAATTATTCTTGCTTTATCTTTTTTTTTTTTAAGCTAAGCTTGTGCCATCATTGTTCATAAAAACACAGCTAAGCTCGATTTGTCTATTGGCTTAGCTCCATTTGTTAGTAGTGATCTATATTATTAACCTCTATTTTCAATTTGTATGAGCTAATTGAATTCATTCTGGAAGTTGATTGGAAGAATTGTTAAGATATAATCAAAACACTGTACGTCTTATCTTTCTCTGTCTATGAATAAATTACTTCTCTCTTTTAAAAAAAACCCTATTGCATCTGTATTTACTGGGTAAATTAATCAAGATATGCTGTTGTCAAGATCAAATTCTTCAAGATGTGTATCAGATGGGGCAACATTGTAGTATTCAAATGATGGCTAACAGAAAACAAAAACAAGTAATACCAATAAAAATCAACATAAAGTTCTTAATCACTGTGAGAATAAAATCAGAAATGAATAGTAATATTAAAAGATATTTATAGCACACAAATAATATGCCTCCTTTTGCTAATGGCAGCTTTTTAGATAAAGTTAGAGCACTATAATGTTCCTTATTCATTTTGTTTTATTACAAGTTAATAATGCCCTAATCCTTTTTCAACTGTTCCTCATAGGGCTTCATTTCCAAATCTCTTAATATATTGGTAGTTTTCCTCTGAACTCATTTCAGCTTTTGCCCAGAGCTGGACACAATAATCCAATTGTAATCTAACCTACTGAAGTCCTAGATTAGTTATCATCAATTAGTACCCTAGGAAAACATGCAATGTGCCAAACCTCAATGCCAGAATTGACTTTTTTTCCACTTAAAAGCTGGCATCTTGCTTAACTTGGGGACATGCAAAATAGAATTGAGCTGTACAAAATCTGGATGCAATGCTTCCATTAATACAGCCCAAGGCCTATATAGCTAATTCATATTAAGCTAGTGGTCCATATGAGATATTCATCATATGCACTGTCACCAAATGGGTTTCATGTTCTTGAATTATGTACATTTTTTTATACTTGTGATTCAAAAACCTAAATCTATTATTGGGCCAAATCTAACATAATCCTGCTGCATTTGATCCAATATTCAAGCTTTTGAGAATCATTTGAATTGTCATTTAGTTCTTATGTTATTAGCCAGTATCCCTAGTTTGGTGTTATCTGCAGATTTGGTAAACATTTTTTTCATCCCATCTCCCAGATGATTTTTAAAGACATTGAACACCATTGGGTTTAAGATGGAAAACCCTGAAAAACAAATTAAATTAAAGTGATAAATTAAACCTTTAATTTTAAACCCAAGATATTTTTTTTTGTTTTGCTTTTATGAATAGGAATTAATTGTTTATTTTGTCACTGGGAATAAAATCATTCATGAGAACTGAAAATCTCTAGAAGCAGACAACACAGCTCAAACCCCTTCTTTCATATATGCATAAAAGCTGAAGTGGACCTATGCTTTCTGGCCCTTCACTAAACAGTTGTTCCCTGGTCTGTCTACAAAATTATGTGGAACATGTGGCATTGGCAACCTTCAGTCTCAAGAGACTGTGGTATTGTGCTCTGGAAAGAGGTCCTAAAACAGCATCTAGTGTGACTAAAAAGGCCAATTTGAGACTGGCAATCCCTTCCACACTGAGGGCAGATACATTCTGTCCCCTGCCCAGCCTCCAGATTTCGCTGGTTCTGGGACTGCCTCTTTGCCTCAGCCTGCCGAACAAGTGTCTCTTCGAATTGGAGAAGGCCATGCTGCGTCTTTAGCCTCCAAGCTGAACGATTGGAGGTCAAGGTTTCCCAGTTGTTAATGTCCATTCCCAGGGCCTTTAGGTCCCTCTTGCAGATATCCTTATATCGCAGCTGTGGTCTCCCTCTGAGGCGCTTTCTCTGCACTAATTCTCCATACAGGAGATCTTTCGGAATCCGACCATCAGCCATTGTCACGACATGCCCAAACCAGCGTAGACGTCGCTGTTTCAATAGTGTATACATGCTAGAAATTCTAGCACGTTCCAAGACTGCGCTATTTGGAACTTTGTCCTGCCAGGTGATGCCAAGAATGCATCAGAGACAGTGCATATGAAAGGTGTTCAACTTTCTCTCCTGCCGTGCGTAAAGAGTCCAAGGCTCACTGCAGTAAAAGAGTATGCTCAGGATGCAGGCTCTATAGACCTGGTCTCTGTATGTTTAATACAGGTGTTTATGTGGAACATAAACACCTGTATTAAACACTACATCATAGATCTACACATTTCATATAATCAGGTGTCATCTAAAAAAAAGAACTTGATAGTAAAAGGAGAAGATTAGCCCACCTAGAGAAGGCATTATGGAGTAAAATTAGTACTTTAAGGCCTTTCTTGAGGCATTCATTTTACCTTTAAAACACTAATACATCCCAAGCCACCAATGGATAGAAAATGTTGGATGCTTGGTGGAAATTCTAGGAGTCTTAAAAATGCTGGGGGAAGATCATAGGTCTATGAGAAAACATGCATGTGTAGGCTACAATCCCAATTGTATATACAATTGTATATACATATACAAAAGTATGAAGGCTATTGCTTAACGCATTGTAAGCCGGAGAAGGGCGGCATATAAATCAAATTTAAAAAAAAAAATTGTGAAGGCTTTCAGAAAAGATGTCTTTAGGTCTCATAGAAGTAGCCTAACATGGATTCTTAGATTATATATCCTAAAATGGATATATAGGGCGGTGGTCTTAGGTAATTAGATGACATCATGAGTAAGAGACATGGGCTCGCTATCAATTTGTGGCACAGAAGTTCCTTTGCACAAAATAGAAAAATGTTAAATACTGTTAGTTAAACAAACAAACAAACATTTAAGGGAATCAAGTCAATTTTATCAAGTAACATTTGAAAAAAAAGTGTTGATTAAGTTTTTAGTCCATTACAGTAGCCCCTCCTCACCAAATATTTTCACTTGAGTGGCACTTTCCTGAATTCTTCCGGAGAGAGTGGCAATTGAACAGACAAACTTCTTGCCATCATCAATAACTGTCACCGGAGAAATCAATAACGCATTTTTTGAACTCATTTGGATTCTGTCCTTGTAGACAGTGAGATTGGCTGTATAGCCTTGAAGGTAAAAGGATGGTTTCTTGATTAGGATCTCTTCATTTCCATTTTCTTTCTGCTAGAAATGGGAGATATGTCAATGATGCATTGCCAAGAAAAAGCATGAATTATCATCATTTCTTTCTTTTTAATGTAATAGAAGATGCTGATGCAATAGCAATTGTACACCTGGGATAGGTGAATCACTGATTCTTCCTTCCTTCCCATAACAGCTACTAGCTATTAGGTAGTCTATCTCTCTTTCCCATCATCTACAGTATATTTCACAATCTGTCTCAAGAACAGTCCCTTTCTGTTATAAATTTCACTTTAGGACATATCTCTTTTGTTACCTAATTCTGATAGAAAATAGATCTGGGACTGCAGAATGAAAAAAGAAAGCATTTTTTTTTCCTTTTTAATATCTTCTCAGCAGCAATTATAAAGAATATTTACTTAGAAATAGAAATAAAATAGCAAGCTTCTCTAACAATAGTACTGAATAGTCTGCAAGTGCCACCTCTGACAATGCAGAAAGATTTTTTTTCTTGAGAACCTGTGTCTTAGTGTGAGTCTCTCTGTGTGCATGCCCACAAACCCAGAGACCACACAAACACACAATAGTCAGTGATGATCTAACAGTTTCCAAAATCTCAAGCTTCAGAAGCTGTAGAGGCCGAAGTGATGACTAATATTAATACTTGGCCCCAAATTGAAAGTTCCCGGACATATTTTGCACTACTAAAGTTCTAAAAGTTCAAAGGACAAATCAAACCTAATGACAGAATGATTTGATTCAGCAATTTCACATAAATATTAAAACTGTATTGGGATAAAGTGGAAATTTGCAGAACTGCCGTGCAAGAATAAAATATTCTAATGTCTACACCCAAAAATGCTAACCCAGGAAAGGCAGAAATTATAGAATTGTCAGCTCATGCACAGGGGCATCTGAAGCAGGTGGGCAAATATTATGTGTCAACAACATCAAATTAGCAGGTATGACCAGAGTAACTGAAGGTCCATCCATTTTTATGTAAGTATGATGCATGTTTGATGCACATTAAAACAAAGGATGGGACTTTATTTGCCTAAACATACCTGTTTTTTTTAAAGCTGTTGACCCCCCCCCCCCTTTGGACAACCAGCTCAGTGGTATGATTATATGCTAATAAAGAATGGATCTGGACTTTTTGGGCCCTTTAAATAATTGGGAGGGTTAAAAAAAACTTAAATTCTAAGCAGATTCAATGAAGAAGTTTATATAAATTTGGGTATCTCAAAATAAAAATCTATTAGGAACAGCCATAACCATAGCACTAATATGCATGCTAGATAATTTATATAAAATATTTTCAGTAAACATATTTAGTGCTGCCAAGACAAATAACTGCAGTTTAAAATTACTGTTACTTGAATATGAGATGCTTTGGTTCATATCAGATATCTCCTAAACATGGATAATCTATGAGGAACATGAGATCCTCAAGATTACAGATTTCCAAAGTCACAGCCTTCAGAGCAAACTAAGTTTTAATAATAATTTCTCAGTCATTTTAAAAAGCAAAATAGCAAATAAGATATATTCTGCCAGAGTTGGTGAAGCCGCTTTGGTCTTAAGTCTCTTTCTACCCTTATTTTATTGAGAAAACGTTACTTACCAATAACCACGTTACAGAAGCATTTGTCAGGTTTATATAATGAGGCATACTGTTCACGCATGGAATTTCTAAGGTCTGGTTGAGTAAAGCTTGTAACACAGAATTCTTGTAATCTTTTATCAAGCAGGAAAAAAAAGTAAAATAAGAAGAATATTATGTAAACAATACCAATGTACAGTGCATGTACAAGTCTGCAAGTCCTATTATTTAATACATTCATCCGCATTTGAATATAAAAGAATAGTTCTCCAAAATAAGAATAGACCTTTTTTTGAGAGATGGAAAACAGTTCATAGATAACTATAAAGGGAGGCCAGTGATTTCTTGATATTTCAAGATTTAAAATGTTTTGCTTTGAACAAACAACTTTAATTTTGTAGCTCTTTCATCTGCTACTGCCACAAGGAGGTAAACAGAATTTATTTGGGGATTGTAAACATATTTTAGGCTCTAAAATAGATTTGTGCATACAATGAAACAGATAAATTAAAGCAGAAAGTCTTCTTTACGAAGACAGAGTTTATTAAACAACATTAGAACCCAAAACACTATTCAGACATTATGCTTACAGTAACTCTAATTTAGCCTAGTTAGTGTTATAGGAATTGAACTTGGGCAATGTCCAAAATCCTTTTCCTTCCTCTAATATATTTGTAAAATTATCAGAAATATTTGCTTCCAATTTTATGCTTTGTGTTAGTACACACAATATTTCAATTTTTTCCACCAAATTGGCAGTTAAAGAAATTAAGTGGAAAGAAAGTTTCTTCAACAATGTATCAAGAGTAGGATTTCCCCTTTTCTGGTGACAGTAATGTTGCTTATAATGTCTTCCCCTGGGACTGAATAGGAAGACCAGAAGGCTGCGTACATCTAAAAGGGAAATCATTCTTATTACATACTGTACTAAAATAGTGCAAAGCTAATATTTCCTGCAGGAGAATCCTCTGAAATTTATGTTCTCTTTGAAAGGAATTTCAAAGCTAATTCTCTTTCATTAAATTGTATAAGAAACAGATGATTTAAAAAAAAAAAAATCAGAGAATTTCTATGCCTAACAGTATTATCTAAAAGCTACTTAAACTTGTTCCAACTTTTGTGTTAAACTGGTTTGGAAGCAAAGTAAGATTAGAAACCTATAAAGAAACTTCATCTAGTTTCCAGACAGACAAATGAAAAAGAATGAAGACTACTGGCTTACATTAAAGATAGGAAGTGCTTGGTTAAATGACTCAATATTTAAGAAAACCTTGCATTTTCATAATGGCATATAAATCTTGTTGTTGTCTTTATTTGTTGTTGATGCTTTATTTGTAATGCTTTTTCCCTTTACTTTTGGCTAGTTATCAGTCCCTAAAGATCTGGGGATGGATATTAATCCAGATGGGCATACCGGTAGTCCTTGATTTGCAACCATTCCTTTAGGGCAGGGGTCTGCAACCTTAAACACTCAAAGAGCCATTTGGACCCGTTTCCCACAGAAAAGAAAACACTGGGAGCCACAAAATCCTTTCCGTGCCTGACTATTTCTTGAGCGGCCACAAAACTAGCATATGTAATTGAATTAAATGTTCTATTTTCTTCTGAAACTTTTCTTTTCTTGGATTTATCCATGGTTGGCCTATCGGGGTTGAAAATCTCAATAAATTGCGTGCCGGCAGGTATTACACATTGGCGGTTGTGACGCATATTTTGAGTGACAGGGAGCCGTAGCAGAGGGGTGAAAGAGCCACATGCGGCTCCGGAGCTGCAGGTTCTTTCTTTTTTTTTAATTTATAATTTTTTATTACTTTAACATTACAAACAACATATACAATATTTCACCCTGTGCTATACATAAGAAAGGAAGATTTGGTTCTTCGGATATATCCTCATGATCGCCAAAATTCACATTCTCGGGGTACAGGTACTGAAGCATCCAATTTTCCCAGCGCATAGTCCACAAATGGTTTCCAAATTTTCCAGAAAATATCTTCTTTATAGTCACCATTTCTAATTTTAATATCACAGCCGCAGGTTCTGACCCCTGTTTTAGGGATTGTTTAAAGTTATAACGGCACTGAAAATAGTGAGTTATGACCATTTTTCAAACTTACGACTATTGTAGCAACCCTGTGGTCACTTGATCAAAATTTGGATGCTTGGCAATTGGCCTGTATTTATGATGGTTGCAGTGTCCCAGGGTCATGTGATCACCTTTTGTGACCTTCTGACAAGCAAAGTCAAGGGGGAAGCCAGATTCACTTTCATGCACTGATTTACTTAATAACTGTGGCAAGAAAAATTGTAAAACGGGCTAAAACTCACTTAACAACTGTCTTGCTTAGCAACGGAAATTTTGGGCTCAAATGTGATCATAAATCATAGACTTCCTATATTATCCTTTGGTACAATGCTATATTTTCTTACTGTTTAGTATTCTACTTCTTCCAACTCAATTTTAAACATGTTCCTTTCTGGTTGGAAAGTTGAATCTAAATGAATCTGAATTTTTTTTAAAAAAATTTTTTTACCAATAAGTGCCACAGAGAAGTGAAATGTAATGATGTTATACAGTAGACAGGAATAAATGATTTGTGAACAATATTTTTGGGACTACTTGTAATAATAGCACTGTTAATAGTCACAGTATATCAGAAAATGAAGAGGCAAGCAAGATGTTGGTTCAATATTACAATGTAAGCCTTTTTCAGTAGATGCAAAATTGATACGTTTATTAATGATGCAGGATTTTGATCCTATCTCATAGCTGAACAGGACAACAAGAAGCAGAAAGATGTATATTTGGACCACTTACCAATTCCACTAGAATCTTTGCCCAGCTTGATGTTCTTTTTTATAATCTATCAAGCTCGTCCCAAAGGTGCTTTTTCAAGAGGACTTTCTTGTTTTTCTTTGAAGATGTTTTGCTTCTAATCAAAGAAGTTTCTTCAACTCTGACTGAAAGTACAGTTGCCTCTTGAAAAAGCATCTTTGGGACAACCATGACCTGGATGACTGAAAATCTCCATAGACATCAATTGGTCAAGCTGTTTCTGGCAATCACAACATAAAGTGCTGTGTTTCTCTGAAAATAAGACCCTGTCTTATATTTTTTTTGAACCCTGAAATAAGCGCTTGGCCTTATTGCCATGCACTCAAAAGCCTGATTGGGCTTATTAACAGGGGATGTATTATTTTGGCAGAAACAGGGTATACATATTACAAATAAAATTGCATTTTTCTTTTTTTTTTATAAATGAATGCCTATGATAGCATAATCCTGCCTACTAGCATAATCAACAGACTTCTCATAAAGTAGGCAGCATGAAAGGAAAATAGAATAAACAGACTAAATACTGGAACATCAGTTTAGAGCAGATGGTCATCTTAGACTGCATAAATAACAGCACACTATCAATAACTTAAAGTAGAAATTAAAATGAACAACTATAGAATTAATTAAGATATTAACAACTACCATCAAAACTGGCATACAAAAACAAATTGAAATAAAGAAAAACAAAACTGTAAACCAAATTGTTGAAGCTAGCCAGAATAGGAAAATATGAAACTGAACTAAATGGGAGGTAAATATCTCCAGCCATCCCTTAACTACTTCAGAACAGAATATTCTCCAGCAAGGACTAAACTACAACACAGAGAATGCCAACCACTAAAATTCTTTGAATACTTACAACATCACTCAAAAAAAACTGTCAATCAATGAGAAGTAATAAAATGTATTAAACCCCTGGTCAAACGGGCATAGAACCATCAGGGTAGAAGAAAGAGAGATCCTAAAAACATTAAAAACTAACCAAATTATCTCAATACTTGCAATAAATTATGCACACAATTAACATTGACAGAACATAGTGCATCCAAAACACAAAAGAAAAATGACAGAGAAACTACCACCTCACAAACACAGTGGAAAAACTGAACAACCAAATCTAGAAAACCCTCAACAATATCAAATAAAGGACCTATCACAAAAGAATAATGTTGTATGAAAAGCAACTGTGGACTAGTCCATGCATTCTTCTATGGTTACTGTAAATACATAAACTTGGCAGAATTGTGTCTCGTTTCATAAGCAACTTTAACTAGGGAGCATGCCTTCTCTGTTGTAGCACCTAACTTCTGAAAAAAAATCTGCCACAGAATTCAGATTACCTCAGCTCTACTAATATTTAGATTAAAAAAAATACCTTAGCTTTGAGATAGACTGATGTTGTTTCCATTTGGTGTATAGATCTATCTTGGTGATGATATATGGTCCTCCAGTTAAATTTGTTAAACTAATCTGACTTTTTTTAACTATGTCCCAAATGTATTGGACAAAGGTGGTGCTGTGGACTTAAACTATCTTGATTTTAGCAAAGCTTTTGATACGGTTCCACATAAAAACGGTTCGTTTTTACGGTTCGTAAAAAAAAGATGTACAGACTAGGGCTTAACTACTGGGTGTTTATAAATGATATATAACAGAAGGATTGTTAGGTAAGGTTCATCTTTTTGCTGATGACATGAAGGTGGGTACTAGAGTTGATGTTCCTGGGGATATTCATAATAGCCATTTTACCCAATTATCTAACTGGATGCCTGTTATAATTATTATAAATTCTGATCTTAAGTTTTACAACATTTCCACTACCATCTGATATTGTCACACTGTAGGAACTCTTTTACTTAATAGCAATAGCACTTAGATTTATATACCACTCCTCGGTGCTTTACAGCCCGCTCTAAGCAGTTTACAGACTCAGCATATTGCTCCCAACAATCTGGGTCCTCATTTTATGACCTCAGAAGGATGGAAGGCTGAGCCAAAGTTGAGCCAATGGGAATCGAACTGCCGAACTGCTGGCAGCCAGCAGTCAGCGGAAGTAGCCTGCAGTACTTCATTCTAACCACTGTGCCATTTAATACTAGACCTCTGGCCCCAGTTTTGTCTTAATGTCCCCCCCCCTCCACATTTGTAGCATTTTATCTATAGTTTCTGCATAAGAATCATTTCCAATCCTTATCAGTTTATATCATTTACAACAAAACAGTTGTAACACAAACATACCTGCAATCAATAGAACCATAAAAATAAAAAGAGTAGAGCTTGAAATTTTCTAGTATCCAAGTATTGCATTTACTGACACCAGTCACATGATGTCAAGTGAATTTTAAGGAAAATGAAAATCAGCAGCAATGACAATATAGAAAAATAAAAATGCTAATAATAAATTGATAATTTGACTTGTATAATGACAACTCTGAGGGCCACAGGCAGGTTTCCCCCCTCAATTTAGAGTTACACTACATTACTGTTTTGCATATTTTTTCCTCATTTTTTTAAAAAAAATATATTACTATACTTACCTCTTTTCTTAACAAAAAGGCGTATTTTTGAGCTACTTGTTCCAATTGGAAATGTGGTAAAGATACATTCATAGGAGCCAGAGAGCTCAAGCGTGATATTCTTCAGTTGTAGAATCCAGTTGCTGCATTCTAGGTTGTTTGCTACAGAATTAAACTGTTTGGAAGTCCTGCTGAAGTTGGTCGAACAATCATGGGAGCCTTTCTCAAAACTTGCTGAATTGTTGTAGGCCGCTTCAAAATAGTTTGTACCATAGAGAGGGTTATATACAGCTATTATTCTTGATAGACCACCAGCAGACTTAGACCACTGAATCTGTGTTACATGGGTTCCTTTTCCTTGCAAGATGCTGCATTTTAGAGTCACATTGCTACCAGCCAAAGCAGAGACAGTTTCTTCATTTGTAATTATAACCGCAGAACATCCTACAAATCAATATAGCGGGAATATTATTGCAGTCACGGATAATAGTCATTGCATTAACTTAGTCTTCCCCTGTTTGATTCTCTCATTGAAAAAAAATGCTCCATATCCTTATATTTATTATTTATAATTTAAAACAGTTATAAATAAATATCATATAATATTTATATTATTTATAAGTAAGTATATTAAAGATTTTGGCTCTGTACAGAGGAAATAACTGTAAAGGACAATGGACCAAAATCACCCAATTACCATGTAAAAGAGTGACCAAAACATGGGCTACCCTACTGTTAATTCAGAGCCTTAACCAACCCATGTTATGAAAGATTGCACTGCCAACAATGGATGGAAACCTGACAAAAACTAAATGAAAATTAAAAATTCAGTACAATTCATTAAAATCCTCCTCCCTGATCTATCACATTAGACTTTAACTTTGATGGCAAACTGTGCAGGTCCTCTGGAGTCACAACCAAGATTTTGAAAAAGATTGCATTCAGCCCTGGAATAATAAGATTTCCCCCCCCAGATTTTTAAAAATTCCACCTTTATTATTTGTATAATAGCTCAATGCAGTTACCTAATACTCCTTCTTCCTCTTATTTTCCACACAACAACAATCCTGGGAGGTGGGTTTTTTAGACTGAGAAAGAATCAGTGGCTGAAAGTCATCCAGCCTGCTTACAGCCTAAATCAGGACTAGAACTAGTGGTGGGATTCAACTGGTTTGCACCACTTCAGCCGAACCGGTTGTTAAATTGCTGCCTTGCCCCTCCCCTCCCCACCCATTCCAGAAGTCCCCTATGCCCCGTTTTGGCTCCCAGGTAAGTGCACGGAGGCCTACTAGGCCCCAAATGGGGCATGGGTGGGTACAGCGCCCCCCCACAGCCCGTTTTTTCTTCCAGGGGGCTGCAGGGATGCCTACTAGGCCCAAAATGGGGTGTGGGGTTGTGTGGTGTGCCTCCCATGGCCCGTTTTTGCTCCCAGGAGGCTGCAGGGAGGCCTACCTGGCCCAAAATGGGGTGAGGGTGGCCCATTTTGGCTCCCAGGGGGGGTGCAGGAGGCCGAGTGCCTGTCACACCCCCTGGCTAAGCCCACCATTACCATGCCCACCCAGCCGGTCATTAGGGCACAGAACCAGTTGTTAAATTATTTGAATCCCACCACTGACTAGAACTCACAACCTCCTGCCTTCTACTCTGGTCTCTTAATTAAACCAAATTAGCTTTGGAGTCTTAATATAAAATTCTGCTTTATTCTGAGCTCTAACATGATGGGACTGAATCTTTGACTAAAAATTTAAACAAGCAGGTGTATATTTCTAAAGAAAAAGATAAAAAAAGAGCCTGGAAAGAGGCCTGGAAATTCAAAGATTGATGTATTTTGTTCAGCATCTTAGTTTTAGGAAGCTGCTCTACTTTTGGCAAAGCTTGGCACAGGCAATTCTTCCTTGTAAGTATCTTTGGTTCATAGGGAGGATCAAAGTGCAACACACAGGGCATTAAGAATAAATATTTTAATAGGTAACTTTTATTAATAGCTTTTTTATTTTAAAATGTGTTGCCATTCTTTGTACTTTCTCTTTATAGGAATATTCTATTATCAGGCCAAAGTTGTTAAGGATAGCTGGCAGACGTCTGACTGTTTGGTCTGTATTCCGGCTAATATGCTATATACAGAATCACCTGGTTACACTACCTGCTTGTCTTCTCATACATGAGCAGGAGATAAAATCAGACTGTTAGCATCAAAAACATTTTTCTTGCATTGATTTAGGTCACATCCCAAAATGATCTCCTGTTCATGTTCAATTAAACTGCATTGTGGGAAGGAGATATCATGTAAGCTTCACTTCAATAATGCAGTTAACACAGATGGACAGTTCATATTCTTATTTGAAAGACATGTTCTCTAACATTTAGGGCAGAAGCTGCATTGACAAACCTTCAGACAGGATTTCCTGATTGTCTCTTTAAGGTTCTCCCTGAGTCTAAGTTTGCTTAGCTTATTCGGTTATCCACTAATGAGCTGATAATTATTTCATTCTTTAATTAAGAACATTTATAGTTTAATCCCACAGTATCAACAAACTTTTAATGCTTCACTTTTTAGAAAGCTCATAATGGAACTAAACTACTTTGGTTCTTAGAAGAACAAACAACTTATAAGAACAAAGATCCAGCAACTTTGAGCCAGAAAATATAATTTTGTATTTCAACAAAAACAATGCACACTACCTTGTGCTCGAACAAGGAACTGAAAAAACAAATTCTACACCCAGATATCATCATTTTACGGAAAAAACTTACCATTGAGGATACATGCTAGGATCAGTAAATAAGACATCTGAAATCTCATCTTCCGATCGTATAAAAAAATAAATACTGTTAATAACAGTCTGTCTCAGTATTCAACAACGGATAGTTTCATTCTTTCAACAGTGAGTATGCTTTTTATACTTTCTTTTTTGCAGGTTTGAGAAGAAACATACTTACAGGAAATGAAACCACCCACTGAGGGTGTTTTAAAAATGTAAATGTTTTTTTGCCTTTTAAAAAAGAATAAATAAAACCTCATGCTATATTAACTTGCCCTACTGCCCAAATATTATTGACACACAGAGTTTAAGAATTCAGTTCTTATTAAAACATTCTATAGCAACCAGGGACAATTGACAGTAGAACTTAAAGCTCATTGAAAAATATGTAGACTGATTAGTGATATAATAAGCGTGATAACAGTGCGTGTTTGATCATTATTGGTGCTCCTCCCTTCCCCCTTCATTTTTGTGCTAGACATTCAGCCTTAGATACTTGACTCTACAGTGAGATCTAGACTAGACAACTTTGGGTAGATGAATTTGACTATTCATAGCAGTACTTAAATCAAGAAAAACTTTACCAGGAAACTATAATGAAGTCCACTTTCTTACAAGTTTTAGGATGTTATCAATAGTGTACAAACATGATTATTAGGGATTCTTTACTCTTTATTCTTTACTCTTTACACTGATCTACTTTTGTGGAGGTAATATAATATCTGAACAAAACCAACAAGTATCTGGTCACTGGTGAACCTGGATTGCATAGATTTGGGACCAAATCTGGAAGAACTCTTGTTTTTATGAGTTGTTGAAAGAAAATTGAGATAGCACTTTAAACAATTTAAAGCCTTGTTACAAAGGAATAGGGAATCTCTGACCTGCTGGCCTATTTTAAACCATTAGCTCTTATATTATAGGGTATTAATTTTGTGACACAATTGTCTGTTGTCTGTATTGCTTTCTTCAGATCTCCTCTCCTTAACCCTTCTCTCTTATCTGGAGGAGAGCAAGAAGTCAGCATATACCCTATTTACACGACTCATAGAAAAAATAGCTCCATCACAGTTCTATTGATCCTATAACTATTCATCACAATTGGACATGACAGCACACACACAACATGATATATGCCATGAGCACAAGTGGTTTGATCTATCAGTCTCAGTAGTTCGGAGGTCATAAGTTCCTATCCTCAGAGAGGCATGCTGAAAACCATTATTCTTCTGCATTGGCTTTGAGTGGACCATATATGCTGACACTTGTCATACCACTGGGAATTTACAAGTCAGTGAAGATAAGAGAAGAATAATTTATCTTGCTTAAGCTACTATGCAGAGGATAAGTAATTACTTAGATGTGAGATAAAAGAAATCAGCAAAGGGGAATTTTGCAAAATACATTTTGGATTGCCAGTATTATCTTGGTGCTCTCTGAGCTTGGCTGTGGGTTTTTTGGTGGGTTTTTTTTTTTTTTGCAAATGTTTCATCACTCAAACTAGGTAATAACCTCAGTGCTAGTGATTATCTTTTTGTCCAATGCTTCTTTGCAACAATCCTGAAAGTGTAGCAGTATCTGTCATGTAAGAGAGAATGCAGATTTTGTGTGTATTCCCTCTCTTTCTTGGCATTGCATTTCCTTACGATCTTGCAAAATCTAGGCAAATCTAAAGTTCCAAAAGATCTTTTTATTGTCACTTTCTTATAAACGCTGAATTGATTATCAGCAAAACAAGAGTTTATTTGTTTATTTGTTTCCATGTAATGAAATAAAGCAGGGGTCCCCAACCCCTGGTCCGGCACTGGGTCATGGCAGAAACTGGTCTGTGCAAACAAGCGAAAACCCATCCGTGGGATGCAGGCAGCACGTGAAACCACACCCCTTCCGGTCGACGGAAAAACCTCTTTCCATGGAACCAGTCCCTGGTGCCACAAAAAGTTGGGGGCCACTGGAATAAAGGATGTAATAAGGAATAGATCTAGTTCCCAAAACACCTGGGGATTTCTGATGTACAGAACTCAGAGGAACATCACATTCCTCTATCCCCTTCTCTCTCTTTTTTTTTTTGCCTTGTTAAAGATGGAGGTTTTTGTGGTTTTGGTTAGTTTATGTCTCCTCCCCAAAATAGTTTTATTTTCATTTCCATCTATTTTATCCCTCCTCCACATGTACTTCGGATTTAAGGATGGCTAAGGGAAAAGACAAGCTTACTCTTATTTCTTGCATTCTGCAACTAACCTTAACAATGTTAACATTTTCTGGCATGGATTAGCTTTCCTAATCTGTCTAATTAGAAAGACTTCACAATCAGAGTTCACCTCCACATTAGTTCTGCAAATTTAGGGAGTGAAAATTGAATTGATATGGAAACGTTCTGCGAAAGAAGGATCCAATAATTTTTCAGTTTATATTTAGATGATCCCCACTAACAGTAAATTATCTGGACAGTCAGTAGGCTCCTACAGTGGGTTCTAATTCAGCATTTAGTGTTTTGGTAAACAGAGTTTATTGCTAACATTCAAGTCTACATGTTTTTATTACAACATTTTCTAATACCTACTGTACAGATATCAGAAGGGACAATAAATAAATAAATAAAACTTTCTTTCCTTTTGTTTAAAAATCTTACTAAGCTGTATAGGTAGTCCACGACTTATGACCACAATTGAGCCCAAAATTTATGTTGCTAAGTGAGAAATTTTTAAAGTGAGTTTTGACCCATTTTATGACTTCTTGCCACATTTGTTAAGTGAATCACTGCAGTTGTTAAATTAGTAACATGGTTGTTAAGTGAATCTGGCTTCCCCATTGACTTTGCTGGTCAGAAAGTTGCAACATGATCCCAAGATACTGCAACTATCATAAGTATGAACCAGTTGTCAAACATCCGAATGTAAATCACCTGACCATGGGGATGCTGCAACAGTCATAAGTGTGAAAAATGGTCATAAGTCACTTTTTTCAGTGCCATTGTAACTTCAAATGGTCACTAAGCAAACTGTTGTAAATTGAGGACCACCTGTAGATTATGACTATAATTTTATTTCATACAACCATGTGGTCCTACTATAACCACAGCTTGAGGATTTGAGAATCAATTCTGTAGTTTCTAACCATAAAACATTATTTTTCTCTCTATATTGGTAACAGTGTGTAATTGGACTTTTTCACAGCGTTTAAAGCCATTTAAAAATACTGCAGCAAAAATATCCTGCAAATAATTCAATATCACGATATTTATTTATTACCCTTTGAAATTCCCAACATGTACTACTGCTTCCCAGAAAACAGTACTGAAGAATTGCCAATAGGTGGCGATATAATATCATCCACTTTACATTTCTGGAGGGAAAAAAATCCTTAAAAAGCCAGGGCTGGTATATATTAACTTTGCCCACGTTTAGAGAATAGCAACAGGACTTCTTTAGTTATATTCTGTTGATACTTTTACTTCCAGAGTAATAACCACGAATGCTTTTGGGGGAAAAATGCTTACCAATTCCTCTATTTTATCTTCCATTTAGGAACCAGATGAGGGGCAGTGGGAGGATGGGCTAGAGTTGGGAGGCAAGGATACTTACATTGATTGCCATACAATTCTATTTGAACAGTTTGGTTAAGCTGAATCTAAAAAGATCCCAGGAGGTCAGGCAGCAGCACATCTTGGACTCTAGGGACAGTTTCAACTGTTTTCAAAGAAAGCTTTTTCTGAGAATTTGGCAAGAGCTGTTCCTGCTTGAGGCAAGAAATTATTCCCTTGCAGACAGATCTGCTCTAAACATGCTTAACAGGAACTCAGCTTCTCACTGAAATTGGGGAGAAAAGAGTATACTTTGAAATGGAAATACTATTAAATGATAGGTTTTTTTTTAAAGGGTACCCTAAGTTTAATTTCACAGCTTCTATTGTATTAAACATCTACTCATACAGCAATCTTCTTTTTCTCTACATCTATTTATTTAATCACTATCATACATCCAAAACACATAACCACATATCTGCAGTTAACTAGAAACTGAATATATGAAACAAGGCAATAAAAATGGGAATGGGAATAGGGAGGACAAACTGGGTTAAAAGACAATTGAAGCACTGGTAGGGGGAGTATCAATTCATACCCATGAAAACGAATTATTTCAGAGAGAGAGAGAAAGAGAGTTCCCTAAATATAAATATGGAGTGTTATGCAATAAATCACCAGCAATTCTAGGTAATTCATCACTGGGTCCCACAGGTTTTTTTTTATCCATTATTCTGCATGTGGTCAGCTAAAAGATTCTTAAAAATACCTTAGATTGTAGCTGAGTTTACAGGCATCCCAGCTGGAGAGGTATTGTAGTCCACTTTATAAGAGTATATTATACTTTGGAGGATTTTCTGCACATTTGACAATTTTCTCTACCCTTTAGAAAGTAAATTATGACTGAGTTAATTTCCTTTAACATTCATCTTTAGATTCTAATCACTATATATTATGATACCTTCAGGCCTAGTATAATTTATACATACAGTCATCTAATTTTAATCTACAACTAATGATAAAAAAAAGAACATATATAAATCACATTTATAAAATAACACAATCTATTTGGAAGTCAGTCACCTTGACTATAACTGTGAGTCTTAACACAGCCACTTAACCTGTCTTATTTTTATTTTATGGTGCTAGACAAACCAACGATAAAAAACAGCATTAAAGGATCACCAAAATTTCTGACAGATATCGAGGGTCAATGTGTTTCCCTTTAAAATTAAAACACCCTGTAAGTTTGCTTGCAGGCCCCAGCACTATAGTGCAGTTTAGGAATTGTGGAGTGCCATGAAAAAAATTACAAAGACACTAAAGGTACCATGAACTGAGAAAGTTTGGGAAATTGTGGCTTAACTCTATTTCTCAGACTGTAGTGAGGAATGCTGATTAGAATGGTGGTTTAACAATCTCTAGCAGGCTGTGAAAGAGAAGGCTAGAAGATTCTGAATGGTAACTCGCTTGATAGTTGATTAGATAGGGAAAAAAGATTTTCTGCCAAAATTGTCAATTTTCTTCTACACTTGAACTCTGCATTTTATTTCTTAAATTAATCCTTTATTTGATCTCTATGTGATCAAGTTAA